CTGTGTCACCCTAAGAAAATCGCAACTTCTCTGAACCTCATGTTTCCTCATCTGTAAAACAAGGATAATGATAGTTCCTACCTCACAGGGTGGTGATGAGACTCAAATGAGACAATGTAGGTATCTTGCAAACCACAGAGCACTGATAAGAAGTCACATTTGTGTCATCTCTGAATTGCTAAACCTGCTGGCCCATCGCCAGGCCTCATCCTTCTCGACTTCTCTGCTACATTCGACGCTGTTTGCCCCCTCCTTCTGAAAATCTCTGTGCTTTCCTAACGATGATCTCTCCTGGTTTCCTCCTACCTGTAGGACTCCTCCTTCTTGGTCTCCATCACTGGTGATGATGATAACCACCTACATTTAGATTGACTTTACACACATTACTTCATCTGGTCCTCAAGAGAATCCTGTGAGCTAAGTGCTAGAGTTAATATGAACCCCATTTCTGAGATGAGGAAACTGAGTCACTGAGCAGTGAAGTGACTTGCCTGAGGTCGCACAGCTACTGCATGAGGTGGGAACTGAGTCCAGGTCTTTGTGATTCCCCCCTCTAGCTCTCTATCCACTACTGCATACTTCCTTCCTTAGATCATCATGTGTATTCTGCCCTCCAATATGGGCCCTAAAGCTCTAACCGGGTTCTCATCTCTCCTCTCTCTATGATTTCTTTCAGGAATCTACAGTGGCTCCCTATTGCCTCTAGAATAAAATACAAGCTCCTCTGCCTGACATCGAATGCCTTTTTCCATCTGTTGACTGCAGAGGGTCTAAGTCCAGGGACACTGGGTCCAGAGGATACCGATATGCCCTAGACTCTTGGATCTTTCTGCCAGTTGATTGCAATTGGTTGATAATGAAGCCATCCATAAGTATGATTGAAATAAACGATTCTGTCCAATTTCAGAGAATCACCAACTCTCCTAGTTGGAAGAGACTTTAGGGGTCATCTAGTCCAACCTCACAAATGGTTACCTCAATACCTACAATGATGTAGAAGCCACCACTTCCTAAGGCAGCTCATTCCATGTTGCAATTGCTGTAACTGTGGGAAAGATTGTTTTTTCCTTACCCAATGCCTATAGTTGCCTCTTTGTAACTTCTCTCCATGGCTTCAAGTTCTGCCCTCTGGAGCCAAGCAGGTCTACTCCTTCTTCAAATACTGGAAGGGAGGCATCATACCTGCTCACCCCACCCCCATCATGTCTTCACTTTTCCAGTTGGAACATATGCAGTTCCTTCAACTGATTCTGGCTAAGGCCTGGTCCCCTTCTGGTTATCCTTTTCCTGACTGTTTTCAAACTTATCAATGACCTTCCTAAAACGTGATGCCCAGAACTGAATCCAATAGCCCAAATTCAGTATAACCCAATGATAAGAAATCCCCACTTCACTAGCACTTCAGGCTTTACAAAGCACTTTCTTCCCAACAACACTCTTGGTTGGTTGTGCAAACATTAGCTCCATGTCATATATATGAACCTGAGGCTCAGTGATGTTGCACAGCTATTAAGCAGCAGAGACAGGATTTGAACCCGTGTCCTTGGGACTTGAAACTCAACAGACATTACACAACATTATGTTGCCCACCCTATTTAAATGTATTTGTTTTAGAATTTAATTTTTATTCACATCCTTGTATCACCCACAGTGGCCACCTCTGGGACAGACTGGCTAAAGCAAATGTCAGATTATGCAAATCACTGTACCACAGAAGACACAGTGAACCAGGGCACAGAGATCCCAGTGAATTGCTGAAGGCCTTGCCTTTGGGTGCAACCTCAGTGGCGACACCGCTGCCTGAGCTGGAGAGGCGTCCTGAATGGCACCAGGGACAGAATGACCACCCTTTCTCTGACAGCCAACCTCACTAAGTCTGGAGATGCCTGTCACCAGGTGGCCTGCAGACAGAGGCCTGTTTTGGCCACAGCAGCTTTCAGAAACCGTCCATAAAGTGATCAAGGAGCCATACTCCAGTGCCACGCCACACCGACGAAATTATGGCCACCTGCTTTATTGAAGCATGATGAAAATGACATTGTTGTCTATTTCGGTTCACAATGAGATCTAAATGCGTTGAGTTCGCAATGCTCTGACTCTGAAAGTAGCCTGTGCTCATTTGTTCATTTGCATTAAAGATGGTAAAATATACCTTTGTTTCTCTTTAAAACAATCTTGTTTTAAATGAATTCTTAAAGATGTCAAATCTTTCATTTCTTTAGGCTAAAGTATGATAGATCCTAGAGATTTCACCACAAACCCTTTTACTAGCAGCCATGAAGTCAAATGTCTACTTTTGAGATTAGTTAAAAAATATATCATTAAAATGCTTTAGTGTATTAAAAATTCTGTCCTTTTGGTAGCACAGATTACAGCTCTGTGCTATGATTCGCTTCCTTTTTATGTCTTCCATTCTGCTAAATGCCAATGTATTTTTCTCTTTTATGACCTGCTAATTGTTCTGAGTTTAACTGTAGATTTTATTTAAATGAAAATTAATAATTATAAATGATAATTATGACTAAAGTTTTCTGTTCCCCTTAACTATATCCAATGTGACAGTTATACTGTCAGCTTCTAATAATTATCCATGACTATACACATCATTTGCATGTACACCTGTCACTTTCTACTAAAGATATGTTCTGATATGAAGTTCTATTAACATTGTTAGATCATAATCATAGGTTGTAACCATCTCTTAGTACTTTCTTTTTGTAAAAAAGGAACTACTAATCTCTCTATAACACTCCTCTAGAAATATAGTTCATGAATTTGCACTAAGATGCAAAGATGCATGTGCAAAAGGTGGTAGATTACTTATTTTAATCGATGGATCTATAATCTCATCAGCATGGGAACTTCCTTCGCAAGTATAGATGGCACCCCATCCAGGCCTTCTCATACTGTCTCAATTCTGGTTTATATCTTTCCTCCACAGAGGATCATTGGTGGTAGGATGCTGCAACTGACTTACACCCACCAAGCGTCTTCCCATTGCCCTTTGCATCACCTCCCATTTTTATCCTGCTAAGACTGTGTTCCATGATTCCCAGCCACTGCGGTATATCTGGAAGACTATTCACAGTAAAAAGATGGGCATTTGCAGCAGGTCATAGCTTGGGATTATTCAAAATGATGCATAATTTCCCCAATCAATATACATTCTTCATCTACTTGTTTCTTTTTCCTTAGGAAGAATGGGAGGCCATTCTCTCTTGAATGGCTGGGGATCTCACTGAGAATTGATGTCATTAGCATAATGTCCTATGTCATCAAGAGCATCTGAATTACTGCCCAAGTATGGGGAAATAGCTCTTCAGTTTACATTTCTGACATTATCTCTAACAAGAGCAAACAAATGCCTTTGACAAGTGTTCATCTCCCTGTTAATGCCTTGATAGACGTTGATAATCCCAAGATAATGGACCAAAGCTGTTTCTGTAATCACATCTATCAAAGAATCTTTTAGGATATTAGCATATGGAGTCTTTAAGGCTGCATTTCACTCTATCAAGTCAAACCTCTGTTGCAATCAATAAACAAAAAATGCTATGTGGCCTCTTGTCATTTTTAAACATAGTCCATTACGTTACTATAAAGATGTGGCCTGCTACCTGTTTCCTTCTTAAGATTTTCAAGGATACTTTCTATAATTGCACAATCCATTCTCATAAAAATTTGGTGACCCGTGGTCTGAAGCAATTATCCCAACCCTTGCTTGCCCTGATGAAGTGGGCACTGGAGAAGAGCTAGCTGTGTCTTCTCAGAGTGCAGACATAAAGAGTAGCCCTCAGGAGACTGGGGGACAGTGGGTCTTTCTAATGCTGTATAGGTCTCAAGTGCCCATCTGTGTGCTGCTCACCATGATCATTGACTGGAAAAACATTTAGTCAGTCTGACTTTTAGAAAGGGATTTACTGAAGTAGCATGACTGATTCAAAACATTTCCCCAAAAGTCTGTGAAATGCTCTCCCTGAGTACTATATGTACATGCAGAGTTGAGGGGAAAGTGAATCAAGCTTAGGGAAGACAGCTGACAAAGGCATAACTTACAGCTCCTGGCTGCACCCTTCACAAGGGTTCAACAAGTTCCTCCTGGGCAAATGCTGGCTTCTTTGCCAGGCTCTCTGTTAAGCACCAGCACCCAACCTTTCCTTGGCTCCCAGGATGATGCTAGGATGCTGCTGGGAAATTTGAAGCCCCAAACCTTGTGGACCTTTCAAAACTTGCAAGTTCCTCTTCCAGCCAGGGCAGGCCAAAGTCAAAGTGCTCTCTTCACCACCACCCCCACCCCCAAGCACTCTGTCCCAGGGAGCTGGAATGATCTCTTCTCAGCTCCACTTAGTGTATCTTACTTGCTCATCCTTATAGAATTGTAAGGGTGGGGCTGACTAAAGAAATCAATCAGATTACCCCACCAAAAGTAAGTGTTAAAATGCTATGCCCTGGTCCTTGAGGTAAAAATGTATCTGATTAAATTTCTCCCAGCTTTGCACAGTTCTGCTATTTTAGAAAAGACTCATGGGTCGGGGTGGGGTGGGGGGGTATGATCATTTTTCCTAGGCCAATCCAAATATTCATCCCACACACTATCACTCTAGTTCATATATATTTGGAAGTCATCTAAATAGAGGTGATCATTGAACCCATGAGAGCTGATGAGATCACCAAGGGAGAAAAGCAGAGACAGAAGAGGGTACAGGACAGGGCCTTGGGGGCACATGTACACCTAGGGTTTAGAAGACAATATCAAAATCTAAAGAGGGGTCAAATGGTAAGAGGATTGATTTGGGATACTTTAAAAATGTCTCATCCCATGTTGACCATCTTCAGCTGTCAAATACAGAACAGCCAACCCTAACACAGGCACAATGGGAGGAAAGAAAGAAACAGAGGTCTTTCTGACCTGTCTCCTTTTCCTGAACCTAATGCTGGCAATTCCATTGTTCTATCCAGTCCAAATTTCTGACACTTTTTTTTTAAAACAACAAACCTACTTCAAACTCTGCACCTCTTCTAAATTCACCTCCCTCCTCTTCTAGTGACTCCAACTTTGACCCAGCAGTGGTGGAAAAATCTAGGAAATAAACACAGGCAAAGAGGAAACAAAATTAGTGCTTTTTAAAGATGCTATGGTAGTCAATCTAGAGAACAATGAAAGAGTCAATGAAAAATAATTCCATATAAGTTGTTGCCAGAGCTACAGTTTATTTCCCAATTTTGACACACCCAGAAAAAAAAAACCAGCATGAATAATAAACAAAGATACTAGGCAGTAGAGCATTGGGTCCGTTGGACACCCTTCAAATTCTACCAGTAGTAGGTAATATTTCCTTTTCATTTTCCTTTCTGAGTCCAAAAAGCTTCAAAAGGGCTTCTATTTTTTTTTAATTCTTTTATTAACAAGATTCTGGTCAATGAAATAATTTCTTTATATTGTTCTTTCAAGTTCCCCAAGCCAGTTTGTATTACTCTCTTTTTAAATAAGGTTTATTGATGCTTTGTGGGCTTTTTCTAAATATCACAATGATTTCTAATCATGCCCTCTTACTTCCCTTCCCCTAGAAAAGGAACTCTCCATTTTAACAACAACCACCTGATATGCAAATACCATATCTGACAACACATAAAACATTCAGCCCTATTAGCCTTTCCACCTCTCTTCTAAGAGGAGCATATTTTGCGTTTTAAAATACCTCCATCTTTGTCCTCCCTAAATATTTTTTTGGCATGAAAATAAATTGGATAGAAATTTTATTCTAATTTTTGGGTAACTGTCAAACTTGCTTTTCTTTCAAATCTAATGAATTCTTTATTATCCTACTGTATCCTGCAGACGACATCCTAGGGAGTTGAAAAAACCACTAAGTAATTGGGCAAAAGAAAAAGGGGGTGTCTCATCACACAGTTATTGCTATTCCACAAACACTAAGAAGAAAAGGCTTTTCTAGAGGTTTGGGGTTTTTAAAGTCTTCTGACAGGTTAAGGCTGAAATCTCTAGAGGTGATAATTTTAGAGAGCAAATCTCAGATCCTGGTAGTTCTATTTAGTGAACTTTTAACTTGCAACACTTTGGGGGTTTGGGGTGCAGGAGGATCGAGTGTCATGTGTGAGCATCACAATCTTTTCTTCCAAAGACAAAGTATGCCTGAGTTCTCCAAAAAGCCTGTGCTCAGGGGATTCTCTGCTTTTCACTAAGAAGGCTTTGGGTGAGAGGCAGCTGTGGAGGCTGCCTCCTTTGGACTCCCAGAGATCAAAAACGATACTCTTGATGCCTTGGGCACAGCGGCTACCTCATCCACTCTCAAACACCTGGAATGTTGAGCTCGCTTTGCCACTTGGAATCTTACGTTAAAACCTGCCTTTTATCTTTTTCTTATTATTGACTCTGACTGTGAAGTGTTTAGGGAGGTCTTAGAAGTAGCAGACTTCAAAAAAATACATGTTAAAACCTTCTTACCATTGAAGCTGAATCTAGAGGAAAATTTAAGGTTTTGTACTTGGAGAATGGCTTTCAAAAAAATGAAAATTCAAACTGTTTTTGTTATCTTAAAATTTCACGGTATTAAAACCTACATAATATATTCTTCAATGAAGAAATCCAGTACGCCCACCTCTAGCCAGTTTAAACTCACTAGCCATGTGAGAAGATGAAATGTGTCTAATTCCTTTTGTGACACCACTGTCTGTGACCCAGAATTTTTTGGGTTGAGGGTCAACCTCCTCCACTAACCTCATAATGGCACTGATCAACAAACATTCATTAAATATTTGTTGTTGCTGCTGTCTAGTCATTTTTCACTTGTCTGACTCTCGGTGACCCCATTTGGGGTCTTCTTGGCAAAGACACTGGAATGGTTTGCCATTTCTTTCTCCAGTTCATTATACAGATGAGGAAGTGAGGCAAACAGGGCTAAGTGACTTGCCCAGGGTCACACAGTTACTAAGCGTCTGAAGCCAAATTTGAATTCAGCTCTTCCTGACTCTAGGCCCAGAGCTCTATCCACTGCAGTGCCACCTAGCTGCACTTATTACAATTATGTGCCGGGGGCTGTGCTTTGTTGGGAAAACAAAGACTAGTGAAAGAGTTCTTTCAAGGACCTTCAAGCCTTCAAAGACCTTACTTTCTAGTAGAGGAGACAACAGGTACACTTATAAACATATACAGAAGCTATAAAAAATGGCCTTTACATGGTTCTCTAATTTGAGGGTTAGGGTTCAGCACTGGGGTGTAGGGTTAAAGTCAAACACTATGCCAACACAGCACAAGAACTGGAGAGTTCTGCCAAGCTGGAAAGGTTTCTAGCAAGGCACCTGTAACAGAGCCTCTGCTTTCCAAAGACAGGCCTAGCTATTCCCAGGAGGCTGGCCATGCTGGCCATGGCAATCTATGATGCAAAGAGAAATTTAAAAGGTTCTCAGTCCTGTGCAGTCCCCTTCTGCTTCTCCAGTGCCAGTGACAGAACCAAACAGCCAAAAAGGAGGGAGAAGCTGTTAAGAATCACACAGTTTTTAGACCATCAATGCATTTCAATTTGACTGTTCTCTAAATGTGAGATACTGGTCCAATGACTAAAGAATGTGTGTGTGTGTGTGTGTGTGTGTTGTGTGTGTGGTGTGTGTGCGTGTGTATATGCCTGGAAGAGTTAAATCATATTAATCTTGGCATTCTCACTATAAATGAAAACAGAAGAAATCTGCAGCCAAATGGAAAGATGGCTCACTGGTACTCCTAAAAAAAAAAAAAGAAAGAAAGAAACAGGACTTTCTAATGCAAATTGTATTGAAAACTGAGAGGCAACATTATTTCATGGGAGATTTGGTTATCATGTATCGCAATTTTTAAGTGTTTGCAAATATATATATATATATATATATATATATATATATATATATATATACACATATATATATATATATAAAATTAGTTTATATACCAACATTAGTTTCTGAAGATGTCAAGAAATTCTATAAAGAATTTGCTAAGACACTATAGATCAAATCAACCTGCAGTCTGATATTTAATGAATTCAACACAAAAATGGGAAAAGGGGAGGGCAGGAGAAATCCATGGGACAGTATGATTCTAGAAAAACAAATGAGATAGGTTACAGACATGTAGATTGAGCAGAAGCCTCACATCTCTATATGTGAATACAATACTTTGTAAAAAAAAAAATGGCAAGCACTGGCCATCATCAGCACCATAAAGAACAAAATACATTATATTTTAGCAAACGAGAAAAAAAGTTACTGTTGGGGCATTTACCTCTGAGTCTGCTGCCTGAGTAGAATCAGGCAGTTTTTTATCAGAGCCAAAAGTGGAATTAGTAAAAAAAAATAAAAGCAGGAAGACTAATAAAAAGAAAAATATACAGTATACCAATAAAACTCTAACCTGTATTATTTAAATAAGTAATTGAAAAAGAAAAAAGTAAAAAATAAACAACAAAAATGATAGACACTGACTAAAATAACTTCATCCAGAAGTTTAATCAATGCAGGGTAATGGAAAAAACAAGTACTTTAGTCAGCAAACGCCTGATTTCCTTGCCGGAGAGACGGCTGCTAATGATTACCAAAGACAACACTCGATTAAAACAAAAGAATGAAAATGAAGGACTACAAACAGAAGAACGAAAAAGACTGGCAGAAGACATTTCAACAAGGTGTTTTCTCTATCAGGGAGAGTGGAAACACCATGTTTCAACCATCACAATCCCTGAGGTGCTTGTGGAGGAAGCAGAAAGAAAACAAAAGAAAACAAGGCAGGTAAAGACAGGATTGGACCAAGTAGAGAAAGAGAAGCTCCATACTGGAAGGAACACAAATTGTGAGGGGACTGAAGGGTTGACAGACATGGGATCTAGGGGAAGGGGTGATACAAAAGGTATAGGAAATATCTCCAAAAATGGTGACTGAGAGAATATCAATGAATATTGATCTAGAGGCCTACTCTCCCATCTGTACAAAATCTTAACGATAATCATTTATTCAGAGTGAGGACCTCCTTGATGATGGTCTTAGTAGAGAACAAGCAACCTTTCATAAGCGTGAGAAAATTAAGGGGATTAGAACAGCAAGTGGTTATGTGTGGGAATTGAATGAACTATACTGACTCCATCTTGTGACTGAATTCTGGAGCTAGCTCAGTTCTCTTTCTATTCAATTATGGGTCTAATCCAAATTCTGTCTTGTGAGAAAAGTTTATTCAATTCTGGGCATTGGGAGAAAACCTTATTGCATTCTTTGAACCTCGCCCAGCGTGACTGGGAAACTGGATCACCTCTCCTGCTGCTTAGAGACCCTTAACCAAGAACCTTGGTTATGCTGACCAGAAACTCGGTCAGATGCAGAGACTGATGCAGGGAGTTTTCTGACAATCTTACATCTCAAGTAACCCATATGTCTTATCTGAAAACTGGACCCATATGAATCAGTTAGTGATTGTTTCCATGTTCCTTTGTTTATGTACACATGGTTGGGGAGTAGGACATCTTTTTCTGAATTCAGGGAATTGTACCTGTTCATTCTCCCCCTCCCAACTTGAAAAGTTCCTAATCTTTCCTCCAATTAGACATTAGGTTACCTAATGTTGTGTTGTTTCCTTTTAATTAATTGGCCTTATTTGATTAATTGTTTTTAATGTATAAAAGTCCACATCCCCCTGCATTTGAGGTCCAGCCCTAAGCTGAAAAGGTATGGTCCTGATCTGTTAGGCAACTGGCATGCGGTGCTTAATAAATCAATATGCTCAAAAGATCAGAGTTTGGTTTTCTCAGTCATTTCGTCTTTTACCCACCACAAACAATATTCAAAAATGGACCAAACCTTTACCATTTCACAGTTAACTGAAAGAAGCTGAGAATATAAAACCCCATTATGCTAATCATAAAAATGCATTTGATTTAATAGAACAAAATGCTGCCTTCCAGACACTTTTGCATCAAGGTATTTCCCATCCATACATACATCATGATCATCCATTCACTATTCCTTGGAAGATGTTGAATGAACCTCTAGATCAAGGAACTGGAGCCAAGTTTTCTGTAAGCAGGAAAAAGTCTCCAGCATCTGGTTGCATAAGTTTCTGGGACATAAAGTCTTAGATAGACAGTATTGTTTCCTCTTGACAGACAAGAGGCCATTTGAAAGAAGTATGTGTACACTAGGATTCACATCACATGACTCATTTGGGAACTGCATGAGCCAAAGAGAAGAGATGACATGGAGTCTGTAGCTACTGACTAGAGGTGGGCAGAGAGGAGGCACCAGTATTGACAGTATACAAGACATTGTGGGAAGGTGATGCCATGTTAGGCCTGGGAAGGTCCCAAATCCTTCAGAACAACACAATATTACTAAAAATATATATATATATACTAGAAGGAGATTGCACCTTAAAATAAAGAAAATATAAAAATAAAGATAAAAAAATAATGATAAAAAAAATCAGCTATAAACTTCTCCATCCTGATCAGGGCAAAAGACTTAGAATCCCACAGAATCACAGAACAGGGTAATCTAGCTTAGGTGGAAAGGGGAAAAAAATAGAGAGGTCCAACGTGGGCAACACAAGGACCCTACTCACATGTCTGTAGTAATAGATAAGGTTGATCAGGGCAAGGCAGACTAGCACCAAAACCCAATAGTGAGTGACCCAAAGGCCCAATCCACACCAGACTAGCACTGAGTATAGGACAATCCATGGGCTTTTATCCCCATCTATTTCCATCAAATATTCAAAGAACAATTAATTCCAACGTTATATAAGCTATTTGTAAAAACAGAGAAGGAGATCCTTCCAAACTTTCTATGATACAAATATGATCTTGATGCTTAAACCAAGGAGAGGCAAAGCAATGAAATAAAATTATAGGCCAATATCCTTCACAAACATCGATGTAAAAATATTAAACAGAATATTAGAAAATAGGCTGGCTATATGAACATATTAAAAAGACACTATGACGAGACTGGATTATACCAGGAATGCAGAGTTAGTTCAACATAAGGAAAACAATAAATATAATAGACTGTACTTTTTAAAACAAGAATGAAGATTATATCAATAGATTTTTTGTTCTTTGCTAGACAATGGGCTTAAGTGACCTGCCCAGGGTCACACAGCCAGTAAGTGTCAAGTGTCGGTGGCTGAATTTGAACTCAAGTCCCCCTGAGTCCAGAGCCAGTGCTCTGTCCACTGCGCCACCTAGCTACCCCTATATCAATAGATGTTGAAAAGGCTTTTGACAAAGATCCATACAAAGGTGGCTAGGTAGTACAGTAGATTGAGCACCTGACCTGGAGTCAGGAAGACCCAAGTTCAAATCTGGCCTCAGACACTTCCTAGCTATGTGACTCTGCGCAGGTAACTTAACCCCAACTGCCTCCAAAAAGAAAAAAGAAAAGAAAAAAAACCCAAAACCAAAGCAAAGCATATGAATAAAATGGATGTTTCCTCATCAGTCTGTAGTGTCTACCAAAAATGAAAAATACTGTATTCAGTGTATAAAGGTTGGAGGACTTTCCAAAAATATCACGGGTAAACCAAGGAAGGATACCCTTTATCACCACCACTATACAGCACAGCGCTGGAAATGCTAACTATAGCTATAAGGCAAGAAAAAAAATCAAAGGCATAAACACAGGCAAAGAAGAAAGAAATAATTAATTTCTGAAGATCATACAATGATCAGTCCTGAACAAAGGTGTCAAACATGCAGCCCAGTCTCAACACTCCTGGGTGCAACCTGAACCAGATTAAAATACAATTAAAATATTTAACACAATATACAAATAAGCAGTAGACCACAGATAGCATTAATAAGTGGTTTTCTAAGACAATACATGGCCCACAGGGATCCTTTTGTACACTTTATGGGCCCCATTTCCATTTCAGCTGCACACCACTAATAAAGAGTCAACTAAAATTAATTTGAACACTTAACAATTTTAGCAAAGTTACAGAATAGAAATAAATCTACGTAAGTCATCAGCATTTCTATATATTAACAAAACTCTGGCAAAAGAAAAATAAATGTTATTTAAAATAACTACAGAATATATAAAAGACGTGGGAGTCTATCTACCAAGACCAATACAGGAACTGGATGAATGCAACTATAAAACATTCTTTATTGAAATATACACCTAAAAAACTGGAGAAATATTCATTGGTGATGGATAAGTCATAAAAACAACAATACTATCTAAATCACTTTACTTATTTGGTGACATGGCCATCAAACTGCCCAAGGATTACTAGAAAGGGTTACAGCTAGAAAATATAATAATGAATAATAAAATATAATAATTAAATTCATCTGGAGAAACAAAAGGTCAAAAACCTCAAGGGAAATAATGGGGGAAGGGATGAAAAAAGCACTACCAGATCTAAAACTATACTACAAAGCAGTAATCATCAAAATAGTCTGGTGCTGGTTAAAAATACAGAGGTTGAACAATGGAACATATCACATATATTACATACAGAACCAAATGAACACAATAGCACAGTTTTCAATGTACCCAAAGATCCTCAGCTACCAGGGTCAAGACCCAAAAAATTGAACAAAAACTGCTGGGAAAACTGGAAAGCATTCTGGAAGAAATTAGATATGGACTAACATCTCACAACATACACCAAGATAATCTTCAAATGGAAATATGACTTAGCCATAAAGAGGGACATCATAAATAAATTAGAGGAACAAGGGAGAAATTAATTTTCAAATGTATGACTAGGGGAAGAGTTCATGAACAAACAAAGGAAAGAGAGGATCACGGAAGATAAAAAGACAGTTCTACTCACATAAAAATAAGGAGGTTTTGTATGAACAAAATCAACGCAGTTCAAATTAGAAGAAAAACACAGGCAACTGTAGAAAAAAAAACACTTTGCATCATATTTCTCTGATAAAGGTCTTGTGTCCAAGATATACAAGAAACTGATTCAAATTTAGAGATAAATGGTCAAAGGACATGAACAGGCAGATCTGAAAGGAAGAAATGCAAGTTATCAAAAATTTTAAAAATGCTTCCAATCACTAGTAAATAGAGAAATGCAAATCAAAGCACCTCTGAGATTCTACCTTACACTCATCAGATTGACAAAGATGACCAAAAAAAGGGTTAGGATAATGACAAATGTTGGATAGGCTATGGGAAAACAGGAGCACCAATGTAAGGCTAGTGGACTTGTGAAATGGTTCAGCCATTCTAGAAATCCATTTGGAACTATGCCCAAAATGTCACCAAACCCTTTGACCCAGTGATACCTACCTGGCCTACTCTCCAAGGAAATCAAATAAAGACGACGATTATCCAGGTGGATATCACTCCTATGGCGCAATGCAACTGATAGCCTGAGGATTTAAACAAATAAGAGTCCTCTTACTAAAAATATATTGCAATAACCTCAAGCAGAAGCAGTTCTCAAAACAAAGAGCAGTCCAGGGAATAAAAACAAATAGAAAAGGCTAAAAAGCAGTCAATAGGAAAGTTGTGGGAAGGCTCAGGAGGTCCTTGCCAAAATTCTCAAAACTGTTTTTTTGCCCTAACAGCTGGGTCATGTAGCTGCCCCAGATCTGCATTATAACTCCTCGCTCACAATAGTGCCAGATAACATTATGAGAAGAGAGAGTATTCAACTCACACCTTCCAAGTTCCACCAGCTTCCTGGCTTATAACAGTCACTATTGTATGTAGTCTTTGACTATTGTGTGTAACAGTCACTACTGTGTTTAGTCTTTGACACCACAATTGCTACTACCTTACCCCAAGGACATCAAAGAGAAAAAGACCGGCTATGGTCAAAATTATTTACAGCAGCTTTCTGTGGTAGCAAAGAACTAGAAACTGGTTAGGGGGGCATTAATTGGAGAATTGCTGCACAAATTATGGTTTATCAATGAAATTGGATACTATTGTGCCATTAAAAATGATGGTTTCAGAGAAACTTGGGAAGATTTGTATGAGCTGCTATCTAAGTGAAGTGAGCAGAATCAGGAGAACAATGTATACAATACAATACAATGTATACACTGGAAAGGCAAATAACTTTGAGAGAACAAATATAAATGATTAGGAAAAAAGATAAGTATGAAGTTATGAAGAGGGAGAAAAAAAGATGATTAATGCAACAACAGAAAGTCAACATGCAGAAACAACAAAACTTTTCAATTACAATAGTCAATGTCAATACACTACTATCAAAGTTTAAAAACACATTATTTTAATGAATAAATGCTTTGGGACAATTACTTTGGGTGCATGGCGGAGGAGGTTATTTGGAGGTTTGTTGGGAAGTATCTGTTGCATAAAAACTTATCTACACATTTCACAAAATCACAGTAGCTTTTCCTACCTTTGTCAGCTTCTTCATCCATAAAATGGAGGTGGTAATGATACTCCTAACATCACAGTTTATTGAGAGAAAAGTGCTTTGGAAATTCTAAAATGCTTTATTAACGTGGGCTGTTATTACAATGATTTCATTATTCAATAGCCAGAGATAGCAATCAGTGAGCTACTTTTCAAACAATGAATTTGTAGGTGGACACTTTTCTATTAAAAAAAAAAAAAGGAGAGTCAATGTGCATCTCCGTGTATGGACCATATATTGGATAACTTCATAGCCCTATCAAAATCTGAAATGTTCTCATTAAGACATATTTTAATGCAGTAATTTGGAAGTGATTTTAGCACAGCTCTAGAACAATGAATTAATTAACTAATTAATTTTTAATTACAATTACATTAAATGGAATTGGCTTTGCTGCTTCTACCACATAGCCTAATAAGCTCCTTGGAAAAGAATCATGGCCAATAATTTTACAATCTTATTTTATTATTAAACTAAATCATTTGTGTGTATTTGTGTACGCGTCTGAGGAATTAGGTAATGCAGTCACATGAATTAAAATAATTTTCACTATGAGAACACAGAATACTTTTCATTTATAGCTCTACCATTTTCTGTTCTGAGAGATAAAGGCCTTGGATGAAAACAATCTATTTCAACACTGGACACCAGACTTTTAAAAAAAATAATAAAAGCATACATCTTAGAACTATCCCTCAAAAGTTTTGAAACTGTGCATACCCTGCGACCCAGATATACTGTCAGTAGGCCCATACCCCTAAAGAAATCAAAGGAAGGAAGAGGAACACCCTTTGAACAAATTATACCACTACTAGGCCCACACTCCCAAAGAAATCAAAGAAAGAGGAAATGGATCTATATATAAAAAATATTTATATGAGCTCTTGTCATAGTAAGCAAAAATTGGAAACTAAGAAGATGCCCTATTGGGGAATAGCTAAACAAATTGTGGTAGGCGAATTGTAATAGAATATTATTGTGTTGGGGCAGCTAGGGGGGCGCAGTGGATAGAGCACTGGCCCTAGAGTCAGAAGGACCTGAGTTCAAATGTGACCTCAGACACATAACACTTACTAGCTATGTGACGCTGGGCAAGTTACTTAACCCACTGCCTAACCAGAAAAAGAAAAAGAATATTATTGTGCCATAATAAATTATAACAGCAGCTAGGTGGCGCTGCAGTAGATAAGCTCACTGGGCCAGGAGTCCGGAAGATTTATCTTCCTGAGTTCAAATCTGGCCTCAAACACTTACTACCTGTGTGACCCTGTCCAAATCATTTAATCCTGTTTGCCTCAGTTTCTTCATCTGTAAAATGAGCTAGAGAAGGAAATGACAAATCATTCCAGCAGTTTTTACTAAGAAGCTCCTAAATGGGGTCACAAAGATTCAGACATAACCAAAAAACAACTAAACAACAAGTGATAAAATTGGAAAGGAAAGGAACAAGCATTTATTAAGCAACCAATCTGTAACAGGTGCTACCCTACACACTTTACAAATATTCTCTCAAAGGATCCTCATGATAACCCAGGGATGTAAGTGCTATTTTACTAGCAGGAAACAGACAATGAAGAAGGTTAACTAACTTGCCCAGGGTCACAAAGCTAGAAAATAGTCAGGTATTCCGGACTCCAGGTCAAGTGCTCTATCCACTGCGCCACCCAGCTGCCCTTCGCTTGACCAAGCATACTTGTTACAGACCTCTATGAACAGATGCAGACCAAATGAGCAGAACCAGAAATACATACATACACACACACACACAAACAACATTATAGAGAAAAACAACTTTGAAAGACTTTAGAACTTTGATCACTGTAAGGAAAAGCCACTGGTCCAAAAAGGATGAAAGAAGAAACACACCACTCGCCTGCTCAACAGAGGTGAAAAAATTAAAATGGAGAAAGATACATTTTCAGACACGGCCGATGTGGGAATTTGTTCTGCTAGTCATAAATTTAGCAGCTATTTGTTTATTTGTCATTTGTAAAAATTTGTTTTTTGCATAGTCATAGACAATGCAGCTATGATAAAATGAGATAATATTTGTAGAAAGCACTTAGCACAGCGCCTGGCACCTAGTAGGCACTATAGAAATGTTTATTCCCCCTCAGATATCTGACAATAGCCGTGTGACTCTGGGCAAGTCACTTAACCCCAACTGCCTCACCAAAAAAAGCAAAATAAAATGCTTATTCCCTTCCATTTTTTTTTTTACCTCAGTTATTTAGCATATAGTAGGCTCTATAGAAATGCTTATCCCCTTGCTTATTTTTGTAGCCAGCCTCAGCAATTAGCCCAGTGCCTTGTACCTAGGAGGCTCTATAGAAATGTGTATCCCCTTTCCTTATTTTTGTACCCCAACACTTCACACAGTAGGCTCTAGAGAAATGCTTATTCCCTTCCCTTATTCTCGTATTCCCAGCAATTAGCACAGTACCTCTCACACAGTAGGCTCTATAGAAATGTTTATGCCCTTTTCATTTTTTTTACCTCAGTGTCTGGCACATATGAGGCTCTACATAAATGCTCATCTTCTTCCCTTATTTTTGTATCCCCAGCACTTAGCAGGGGCATCACATAGTAGGCTCTGTAGAAATGTTTACTCCTTTATTTCTTTTACCCCAGTGCCTTTCACATAGTAGGTTCTATGGAACTGTTTATCCCCTTTCCCTAATTTTGAATCCCCAGTGATTGGCATGGTGCCTGGCACATATGAGATTCCATATAAATGTTTATCTTCTTATTTTTTTATCCCCAGCAATTAGCACAGTGCCTGGCACTTAGTAAGCTCTACAGAAATCCTTATCCCCTTCCCTTATTTTTAATCCCCAGCAATTACCCCAGGGCCTTTCATACAGTAGGCTCTATAGAAATCCTTATCCTCTTCCCTTTTTTTTTTTTTTACCTCAGCGCCTGGCACATATGAGGCTCTACATACTCATCTTCTTCCCTTATTTTTATATCCCCAGCAATTAACACAGTGCCTGGCACATAGTAGGTTCTGTAGAAATCCCTATCCCCTTATTTTTGTATCCCCAGCACTTACCCCAGTGCCTTTCACACAGTAGGCTCTATAGAAATCCTTATCCCCTCCCTTCTTTTTTTTTTTTTTACCTCAGTGCCTGGCACATATGAGGCTCTATATAAATGTTCATCTTCTTCCCTTATTTTTATATCCCCAACAATTACTTCAGTGCCTTTCACACAATAGGTTCTATAGAACTCCTTATCCCCTATTTTTGTATCCCCAGCCATTACCCCAGTGCCTGGCACTTAGTAGGCTCTATAAAAATCCTTATCCCCTTCCTTTTTTTTTCCTACCTCAGTGCCTGGCACATATGAGGCTCTACATAAATGTTCATCTTCTTCCCTTATTTTTATATCCCCAGCAATTAACACAGTGCCTGGCACTTATTAGGCTCTATAGAAAGCCTTATCCCCTTCCTTTATTTTTGCATCCCCAGCAATTAGCACAGGGCCTTTCATACAGTAGGCTCTATAGAAATCCTTAACCCCTCCCTTTTTTTTTTTTTACCTCAGTGCCTGGCACATATGAGGCTCCACATATTCGTCTTCTTCCCTTATTTTTATATCCCAGCAATTAACACAGTGCCTGGCACACAGTAGGTTCTATAGAAATCCTTATCCCCTCATTTTTGTATCCCCAGCCATTACCCCAGTGCCTTTCACACAGTAGGCTCTATAGAAATGCTTATTCCTTTCCCTTTTTTTTTTTAACCTCAGTGCCTGGCACATATGAGGCTCTATATAAATGTTCATCTTCTTCCCTTATTTTTATATCCCCAGCAATCACTCCAGTGCCTTTCACACAGTAGGTTCTATAGAAATCTTTATCCCCTTATTTTTATATCCCCAGCAATTAACATAGTGCCTGGCACTTAGTAGGCTTTACAGAAATCTATTCCCCTTATTTTTGTATCCCTAGCCATTACCACAGTGCCTTTCACACAGTAGGCTCTATAGAAATGCTTATTCCTTTCCCTTTTTTTTTTTTAACCTCAGTGCCTGGCACATATGAGGCTCTATATAAATGTTCATCTTCTTCCCTTATTTTTGTATCCCCAGCCATTACCCCAGTGCCTTTCACACAGTAGGCTCTATAGAAATGCTTATTCCTTTCCCTTTTTTTTTTAACCTCAGTGCCTGGCACATATGAGGCTCTATATAAATGTTTATCTTCTTCCCTTATTTTTTTATCCCCAGCAATTAGCACAATGCCTGGCACATAGTAGGCTCTATAGAAATCTTTATCCCCTTATTTTTGTATCCCCAGCCATTACCCCAGTGCCTTTCACACAGTAGGCTCTATAGAAATGCTTATTCCTTTCCCTTTTTTTTTTTTTACCTCAGCACCTGGCACATATGAGGCTCTACATATTCATCTTCTTCCCTTATTTTTATATCCCCAGCAATTAACGCAGTGCCTGGCACATAGTAGGCTCTATAGAAAGCCTTATCCCCTTCCCTTATTTTTGTATCCCCAGCAATTACTCCAGTGCCTTTCACACAGTAGGTCCTACAGAAATCCTTATCCCCTTTTTTTGTATCCCCAGCCATTATCCCAGTACCTGGCACATAGTAGGCTCTATAGAAAGCCTTATCCCCTTCCTTTATTTTTGCATCCCCAGCAATTAGCACAGGGCCTGGCACATAGTAGGTTCTATAGAAATCCTTATCCCCTTATTTTTGTATTCCCAGCTATTAACCCAGTGCCTTTCACACAGTAGGCTCTATAGAAATCCTTATTCCCTTCCCTCCCCTTTTTTTTTTTAACATCAGTGCCTGGCACATGAGGCTCTATATAAATGTTTATCTTCTTCCCTTATTTTTTTATCCCCAGCAATTAGCACAATGCCTGGCACATAGTAGGCTCTATAGAAAGCCTTACCCCTTCCTTTATTTTTGCATCCCCAGCAATTAGCACAGGGCCTTTCATATAGTAGGCTCTATAGAAATCCTTAACCCCTCCCTTTTTTTTAATCTCTGCCTGACACATATGAGGCTCTACATATTCATCTTCTTCCCTTATTTTTATATCCCCAGCAATTAACACAGTGCCTGGCACACAGTAGGTTCTACAGAAATCCTTATCCCCTTATTTTTGTATCCCCAGCAATTACCCCAGTGCCTTTCACGCAGCAGGCTCTATAGAAATCCTTAACCCCTCCCTTTTTTTTTTAACCTCAGTGCCTGGCACATATGAGGCTCTATATAAATGTTCATCTTCTTCCCTTATTTTTATATCCCCAGCAATTACTCCAGTGCCTTTTACACAGTAGGTTCTATAGAAATCCTTATCCCCTTATTTTTATATCCCCAGCAATTAACACAGTGCCTGGCACTTAGTAGGCTTTACAGAAATCCTTATCCCCTTATTTTTGTATCCCTAGCCATTACCCCAGTGCCTTTCACACAGTAGGCTCTATAGAAATGCTTATTCCTTTCCCTTTTTTTTTTACCTCGGTGCCTGGCACATATGAGGCTCTATATAAATGTTTATCTTCTTCCCTTATTTTTATATCCCCAGCAATTAACACAGTGCCTGGCACTTAGTAGCCTCTATAGAAAGCTTTATCCCCTTCCTTTATTTTTGCATCCCCAGCAATTACCCCAGGGCCTTGCATACAGTAGGCTCTATAGAAATCCTTAACTCCTCCCTTTTTTTTTTTTACCTCAGTGCCTGGCACATATGAGGCTCTACATATTCATCTTCTTCCCTTATTTTTACATCCCCAGCAATTAACACAGTGCCTGGCACATAGTAGGTTCTATAGAAATCCTTATCCCCTTATTTTTGTATCCCCAGCTATTAACCCAGTGCCTTTCACACAGTAGGCTCTATAGAAATCCTTATTCCCTTCCCCCCCCTGTTTTTTTTTTTAACCTCAGTGCCTGGCACATATGAGGCTCTATATAAATGTTTATCTTCTTCCCTTATTTTTTTAGCCCCAGCAACTAGCACAATGCCCAGCACATAGTAGGCTCTATAGACAGCCTTATCCCCTTTCTTTATTTTTGCATCCCCAGCAATAGCACAGGGCCTTTCATACAGTAGGCTCTACAGAAATCCTTAACCCCTCCCTTTTTTTTTTTTACCTCAGTGCCTGGCACGTATGAGGCTCTACATACTCATCTTCTTCCCTTATTTTTATATCCCCAGCAATTAACACAGTGCCTGGCACACAGTAGGTTCTACAGAAATCCTTATCCCCTTCCCTTATTTTTATATCCCCAGCAATTACCCCAGTGCCTTTCACACAGTAGGCTCTATAGAAATCCTTAACCCCTCCCTTTTTTTTTTTAACCTCAGTGCCTGGCACACATGAGGCTCTATATAAATGTTCATCTTCTTCCCTTATTTTTATATCCCCAGCAATTATTCCAGTGCCTTTCACACAGTAGGTTCTATAGAAATCCTTACCCCCTTATTTTTATAACCCCAGCAATTAACACAGTGCCTGGCACTTAGTAGGCTCTACAGAAATCTTTATCCCCTTATTTTTGTATCCCCAGCCATTACCCCAGTGCCTTTCACACAGTAGGCTCTATAGAAATGCTTATTCCTTTCCCTTTTTTTTTTACCTCAGTGCCTGACACATATGAGGCTCTATATAAATGTTTACCTTCTTCCCTTATTTTTTTTTATCCCCAGCAAATAGCACAGTACCTGGCACATATGAGGCTCTACATAAATACTCATCTTCTTCCCTTATTTTTATATCCCCAGCAATTACTCCAGTGCCTTTCACACAGTAGGCTCTATAGAAATCCTTATCCTCCTCCCTTATTTTTGTATCCCCAGCCATTAATACAGGTCCTTTCAAACAGCAGCCTCTATAGAAATCCTTATTCCCTTCCCTTTTTTTTTTTTTACCTCAGTGCCTGGCACATATGAGGCTCTACATATTCATCTTCTTCCCTTATTTTTATATCCCCAGCAATTAACACAGTGCCTGGCACACAGTAGGTTCTACAGAAATCCTTATCCCCTTATTTTTATATCCCCAGTGCCTTTCACACAGCAGGTTCTATAGAAATCCTTATCCCTTTTTTTTTTTACCTCAGTGCCTGGCACATATGAGGCTCTATACAAATGTTTACCTTCTTCCCTTATTTTTCTATTCCCAGCAATTAGCACAGTGCCTGGCACACAGTAGGCTCTATAGAAATCCTTATCCTCTTCCCTTATTTTTGTATCCCCAGCAATTAGCACAGGGCCTTTCAAATAGCAGCCTCTATAGAAATGCTTATTCCCTTCCCTTTTTTTTTTTTACCTCAGTGCCTGCCGCATAAGAGGTTCTACATAAAGGTTCATCTTCTTCCCTTATTTTTATGTCCCCAGCAATTAGCAGAGTGCCTGGCACGTAGTAGGCTCTACAGAAAGGCTTATTCCCTTATTTTGTGCTCCTGCGCTTGGCACTGTGCCTGGCACACAGTAGGAGCTTAAATAATGTTGACTGATTATCCCCCATTGTATTGAATCTTTTTTTTTAATTTGCTCAATGGATGGGGATACGGATTAATTTCTAAAAAAGAGACAAAAGAACCCACCAATTATATTTATGCTATGATAATCCACATTACCACAACAAAATTTAGCTTTAGTCTAAGGGGTAGATTTTTGCAATCGGGCCCCAATTCATAGCGCTTCTGCATTTAGAAGGAAGCGGATTAGGCTTCTTCCTCCAGTTAAAGAAAAACCAGAGTCTAAGCACAGGCTTGGGCCCTCCCTCTCTCCTGGGCGGCTCCCATTGTGGCCTCAGGCCGCCATCCAAGGGACATCTAACAAGGCCTGGGCAGGGCGGACCCCAGGGGTGCATGAAGACTAACATCAAATCTGGCCAATATATCGTTTGCGGGAATAGAATTAAGAAACAAACAAAGGAAAATCAGGCCTGGGGCGGGGCCATCCCGCATCCCTCTAGCTCCCTCTCAATACAGCTCCTGGGGCCCGGTCACCTCACCCGCACCCCACCCCCCCAGCGCATCCATACAGAGGATGGGCATCTTTAAGGTCTTACAATGTGGCCAGCCCGCATCAGCTGCTGAATCGGTCTCCTGTTGCTGCCACACCCGCCCGCGCACGTCCCTCTCCGTTTTCTTCCTCTGTGGCACCCCGAAACTCCTGCCGCAGCACCCCGCAACAGAGCAAGAAGAATCTCCGCCCCCAGCTCGTAGGCTGATCTCACAGGAAAACCTCCGCCCCCCGTCTGAGGGCTGATCTCGCGTTAGTTTCCTACAATTTCAATATAATTTATTCCTGTGCAGTGGCGTGATTCTGAATTAAATCCCTGGCAGTGAACCATACTGCAAAAGGGGGATGGTTAAAAAACACACGACATCATTTCTTTCTTTCTTTTTTTTTCTTTTTTAAAAAAAGGGGGAGGGGGCATTTCAATGCACTGCCTTGATTGCATAGTACCTTAGATTTTGGAAAATAAGAGATTATTGGTAATTTTGGAAAACACAATTTCAATTGAATGATGATTTCAGAAGCCATCTTACAAAAGGGATGAAAAAAGAGGAAGACGTGAGGAAGTGGAATGACCGATTGCAGGCAGTTTTCTCAAGGGGGTTAGCTGGTTACAGGAAAATTCAATCATTTATCTAACACTTAAGGAAAAATTAATACATTTACGAGACAAGATATTCTCAAAAAATGAAAAGGGCATTCTACCAAATTATTCTTAGGAGATCAATATAATCTTAATAACTAATCCAGGAAAGCAAAAACAAAGAAAGAGAACCCAAAAAAATCATTATTGAATACTGATTCAAAATTTCAAAATGAAATTCTGGCAAAAAAAAATCATAAAAAAATTATCCCCCAAAATCACTCACTATGATCTATTTAGATTTTTTCCTTAAGGAAGCAAGGAAGATTCACCATTAGGGAAACAATGAACATACTCACATAAAACAAAAAAAAAATTCAAAACCACCTCAGTATAACACTAGAACAAAAAAATGCTTTTGACAAAGTATAACACTCATCAATGCCCAAAAAAAGACAAACCTCCATAAAACACAGGCATAAAGGGTTCGTTTCTTAATACGATATGAAGTATCAATCAAAAATCAAAAGCTAGTATTATGTGCAACAAAGACGCACTAGCATCTTTCCCAGTAAATACAGGAATGAAGTAAAGATGTCCTCTTTCCCTGGTATTATTTGACACAGTTACAAAAATGCTAGCAGTTGCGTTCAGAAAATATACGCTAAAAAATTAAAACCAGGAAGAAAGGAGAAGGGGAGACCAAATTATTCCTATGTGCTAATGACATGATGTTATACTTGAACAATTCTAGGGAATCAAAGAAACGGAGATAATTAAAAGCTTCAGTAAAGATACAGGCTGCAAAGCAAACTCACAGAAATTAACAGCATTTCTGTATAGTAGTAACAAAATCCTGGAAGCAACAATTAAAGGGGAAGTCCCATTCAAAATAACAAGATGCCTAAAATATCTGACGGTGATCTACCAAAGCTAACAATCCTTTATATGTACACGTATGCACGTGTATATATGTGTATGTATATACACATATTTGTGTATGTATTTTAACACACTCTTTAATCAAATAAAAAAGGGATTATTAGAGAAATATTTAGTGCCCCTGGCTGATCCATGGAAATATAATAAAAAAGGCAATACTAACCAAAGTTAATTTATATATTTAGTGTTATACCAAAGTACCAAAGGAATACTTTATAGAAATAGAATTCAAATTATAATATAAAGCAGAAATTCTCAAAAATTATTTGGTCCTGCATAAAAAATAAAAGTGTAGAAACACAAGGAGGAATCAGAAATCAGAGAATTTAATAACCCAATGTTCAATAAATCAAAAAAACCCACCATAACTTACCTAAGAAAGAACACCCTATTCAGGTGTTCTAGCTGAGGAAACTAGAAAGTATTCTGGCAGAAATTACACCATGATGCACAATAAATTTCAAAATGGATGTACGGCCAGAGTATAAAAGATCAGACCATAAAAAATTAGAAGAGAAACAGATCATATACCTTTCACAGCTATGGGTAGGCAATTAATTCTTAACCAAACAAGGGAGAGAAGAGATTATAAGGGATAAAATAGATCATTTTGATTCCATTAAATTGAAAAGCTTTTGCAGAAACAAATTTAATTCAGCTACGATAAGGGAAACAGGTGACTGGGAAAAATCTTTGCTGTCAAATATTTCTGAATAGATCCTGATATCCAAAATATATGAAAAACTAACAGAAATATACAAGCCTAAAAGCCATTTTCAAATAGTTAAATTAAGTGGTAAAGGGATATGAACAGCTCTCAAATGAAAAATTCCAAATTATTAACAATCACATAAAAGACTAATTCAAATAATGTTGTTGTTTGTGGTTCAGTTGTTTTTAGTCATATCCAACTCCATTTAGGGTTTTCTCAGCGAAGATACTAGAGTGGTTTGCCATTTCCTTCTCTAGCTCATTTTACAGATGAGGAACTGAGGCAAATAGGGTTAAGTGACTTGTTCAGGGTTGCGAAGCTGATGTCTAAAGCCAGATTTGAGCTTACAAAGATGAGTCTCATCTACCTGCCCAATTCAAATAACAAGAGAGATTTAAATCACAACAACCCTGAGATTTCACTTTATGGGCAGCAAATTGTCAGATAACAAAAGATGGGACTGGTCAATGCTGGAGGCACACCAAGGCACTATTGGTGGAGCTATGAATTCCTTCAACTATTCTGGAAAGCAATGTGGAATATGCACATAAAGGGACAAAAAAGTCCATACTCTTTGACCCCAAGATCTCCTTGGTAGGCATGTACCAGGAGGAGGTCAATAACAAAGAAAAAGATGCCACATACAACAAAATAGTTATAGCAGCACTGTCTATGGTAGCAAAGAATTGGAAACAAAGCTTGTTAAATGAGGAATGGTTAAACAAGTTATGATATATAAATATAAAGGAAGATTACTCTGCTGCAAGAAATAATGAATAGGATTAATTCTGAGAATCATGCAAAGACTTCTGTCAATTGATACAATGCAAAGTAAATAGAATTGAAAAAAAAAGGAAACAACAAGAAAACAACTGAAACAGAGTGCTGCCAACTTGTACTGAGTAAGCTTGCCTTCAAGAAAGAGATATGAGAAGGCAACTAACTTCTTGTACTTTTTTGTATCATAAGTAGCGAACCATGGATGGGAAACACCGTGTATGACATCCCACTTTTTCAACATGTAGATTATTTCCTTTCTTATTATGAGGGACATTTTAATCAATTTGTTTACATAATTCGAAATTGCAGCCTCCTCTGGAAGGAAGTTGGGAGTCATGCAATGAGAAATGTAGGTAATGTAAAAAGAAAACTATTAAAAAATTAAGAAAAATAAATGTTTATCAAAAACTTTTGGAACTGATTGTTGAAAACTAAAAATAAATTAATAAACAAAAAAAAATAAATGCACAATTATTAGGCATCTATTAAGTACCTATTATGTGTTAAGAACTTTAAATATGTAATAAAGCACTTTGTAAAATTTTAAAAAATAAATGTTTTTCATAAACCTGGAAAAAAATAAATGTTTAATGATTAACTTCCTATAATGGATCATATACATATAGATATATAATACATACATTTCAATAGTGCTTTCAGATTTGCAAAATATTTTACATAGCATCCCATTTGATCCCTACAACATTCCTGTGAGGTAGGTGCTATTACTATACCCCCTTTACAGATGAGGAAACTGAGGAAGGCAGAGAGGTTAAGTGACTAGCCCAGGACTACCTAGTTCAGAAGTATCTGAGATGAGATTTGAACTCAGTTGTTCTCAACTCAAGTCCAGTGCTCTATCCACTATTCAAAGCTGCTTTCTGATATATAGATATCTAGGTATAACCCATGGCCCCAAATTCTTTAGCTCTGATTTTTAACAGACTGGGTTCAGTCTTAAAAAATGGCACTAAAAATATCACTCCTTGGCCAATATCATTCCCATCCAGAGTTTACTCTTAGAATATAACATAACTCATGTCTAAGTCTCCTCAAATACAGGGAAAAGGGTTCCCCAGATCCCATAGAAGAACTAAAGCAAACAATACAAATATCAGGTAGAGATAGCCTTTATTTTAGCCCACAAAAATTGTTTTAAAAAATGCAGAGGACTCATAGGAACCTGTAACAAAATGCAGAAAACATATAAAGGAGTCACAACAGCCCATAAGCAAGCAGTACGATATTACCACCTCCCTGCTAAGCCCTACTTTTTCCCCAGAATCATAAGGTCCTCCAGACTCAGTGCCATTATGAGGGTAGAATTTCTCTCAGAGGGGAAATATGTGTGTGTGCGTGCACGTGTGTGTGTATGTGTGTGTGTGTGTGTGTGTGTGTGTGTGTACGCGCCCATATATGCTAATATGTATACCTGTATACACTAAATTAGTGATACTTACCAAAACACTTGTAAAATAAAATACACATACACTGGTACATTGCTGGGGAAGGATGTATGTTGGCATATGTACATGTATTCTTTATGTGTGTGTATAGATATGTGCATATGTATGTATATGTTTACATTGAGTTTGCACACAAATTGAGTTTATAAGCCACATTTGATCTATAATGCACATACATTTATATAATTGATTAGGGATTGAGCCTAATACTGACCAGTCTTTGCTCTGGTTCAAATTTAGTCCTCAGGTAGGACTATACTTTTTCCTCATATCCTACACTTTTATGTGAAGCAAGTACTAAATGTGGGGAAAATCAAAGTTTATTCTTTCTTGTAAGCAACTCAATTACTACCTATGGAGGCATCAAGGGCTAGTGGATAAAGCACTGGACTTTGCAGGCTGCAAGACCCAAGTTATGGCAAATGACATGCTAGGTCACTTAATTTCTTGGTGCTGTGTGCTACTCCCTCCCTAGAATTTATATACCAGGTAACAGATTGTGATCTGTCTAAGCAGCAAGAGTTCCTCATGCTAATAATGGAATTGCATATCCATTATGTATCCTCATAATGATTACCAAAAAAGTGGAGGGAAATACATAGGAAAAAATGAAGTTTCAGATGAACTGAAGTATGGACCTGACTTCTTAGAAATATATTTGCTGAGTACCAAGATGTTGTTCATTAAAACATTAAATGAAAGATCTAATTATTTTTCTCAAGCCATAGAAAGGAAGACGTGACATAGTCTTAAGCAT